CTCCAGATGGGGGTCGGTCGGACATTTGGGTAGTGAGACTGGATGACACGTGTTTCTGCCCCCCCACCCCACCCATCCCTTTCCGGTATTTCAAGCAGGCCGCAGGCTTTGTGCTTCAAATCTTCAGGGGAGGTGTGGATAGAGAGGAAGCAGAAGTTGCAAGGTTTCCTGACTTTTCTAAAAGCCCAGGACCACAGAGAGGCGGAGTTGGGGCAGGGTGGAGGTGTGGGGGTGGGGAGAAGGGCCCTTGAAGAAACAAGGAGGTGAGAGGCCTCCTCCCACGTGCAGAAGAGATTTCTGTAAGTGTGCAGCGCAAGGTCGGTAGCTGTTTGATTCAAACGCTGCCTCTCCCGCCCGCAGGTCACATCATTGTGGACAGTTACGCAAACTTCTTTAAGCCTGAAAAGGAGACAGTGCTACCTCGTTGCTGTGTCCTAATATTATGCCTTTGGTCCCACTGTTCTGAGGCACGAATACTTGTTATGGACTGAGGTGTGCCCCCTCCCCCCACACCAGAATCGTGTGTTGAAGCTTTAGACCCCAAACCCTTCAGACTGTGACTGTGTTTGGGGCCAGGGTCTTTAAAGAGGTAACGGAGAACGAGGTCATGAGGGCGGGCCATAGTTCAGGGTAAATGGACACAGGACGGGGACGGGAAGGGCTGTGAGAGGTCACACATTGAAGACATCCATCTATGAGCCAAGGAGAGCGGCCTCAGAAAGAATCAACCCTTCCGACACCTTGGTCTGGGACCTGCAGCCTCCAGAAGTTCGAAAAAACAGATTTGTCGTTCAAGCCCCTGGTCTGTGGCACTTTGTTACACCTGCCCCAGCAAACCGATACAGTCAGCACTAACCAATTTTGGAGGTCCTCGAGATTGGGGAGCACGGAGCTGCCTGCCCTAATTTAAATACTATTCAGCCTTAAAAAAGAAGGAGACCCTACCATTTGCTCTAACATGGGTGAACCTGGAGGGCCTTCTACTGAGCGAAATGTCAGACACAGAAAGACAAATACTACGCGACCAAACTTGCACGTGGTATCTAAAAAGACTGACTCACAGAAGCAGAGGGCAGATGGTATGGGGCTGGGGGGCGGGGGCCGGGGAGGTGTTTGTAAAGGGCACAGAGTTTCCGGTGTGCCGGAGGAGTAGGTTCTGAAGGACCTCACGTACACGATGGGGACTACCATTAATAGCGCTCTATTATTGTACACCTGAAATTTGCTGAAGGAGTAGTAGTTCTTTTTGTCTTCAAAGATTTTTTTTTTTTTCCGAGAGAGGGTAAGGGAGGGAGAAAGACAGGGAGAGAAATATTGATGTGTTAGAGAAACATCGATCAGTTGCTTCTCACACCCCCAACCAAACTCCCCCAACCTGGGACCTGGCCTGCAACCCAGGCATGTGCCTAACCAGGAATCAAACAGGCGACCTTCCAGATCACAGGCTGGCACTCAACCCACTGATCCGCACCAGCCAGGGTGAGAGTAGTAGTTCTTAAATGTTCTCACCACAAAAAAGGTAACTGTGAGGTGATGGGTATGTTAATTAGCTTGAGTGTGATAATCCAATTTCACAGTGTAAATGTGTATGAAAACATAACATTCTGACCTTAACTACATCCAATTCTAATTTATCAACGATACCTCAATGAAGCTGGGGGAAAACCAATCAAACCACAAAGCACATCTATCCCTTCTGGGCCCGATTTTCTGTATTTTCCCGTCACACCCTCTGTCTACTTTTCAAGTCATGGCCAGAAGGTGCCAGAACTCGAGTCTGGCCCAGCATCTCACCAGCTCTGTCGAGAGGGAAGGGATGTTCGCTGGGTTTACGGGGTTTGCTGGGACGTTTGCAGTTAGGTGCTGGGGGGATGGTTACGAAAGTGAATTCCGAGGTCAGACTGGTGGAAAGCTTAGACCTTCCCTTTGCAATCTGTTGTGCTGTAACAATCTCACACTTTTTATTAGAGTTCATGTTTACTCTTAGTTGAGGTCGATTACCTCTTTGAGTGATGTGTTTCTTCGCACCGTGGGACACAGGATTCTTTCACGCTGTCATATGCGTGTGTCTTTCTTCTTCAAGGTGGTCCGACTCCTGCAACCCTGGAATCTGATGAATGACATGGAATGTGTTGTCTGTCTCTTTATTCAGGTTTTCTAAACTTTAGAAAGAAGTGAGTCATGAATACCTTAGCAGAAGTATATTTCTGCTGGGATGTTGTCCAGGAGACTGGCATGGTGGTGCTTTACCCTCAGGATCTCATTTGATCCTCCAATGTCCCTATGAAGTGGGCCCTATAATCCTCCTTATTCAATAGTTAAGGAAACGGAGGCTTAGACCCAGGCCACGTGTTGCCCAAGGCCACACAGCTACTAACCGGCAGAGGTGGGATTTGAGCCCAAATCTGGAGGATTAACTATTAACCTACCTTGCTGAGCCACTCCCCTCTTTGATTGGCAGATGTATTGCTCTGCCTGCCTCGGTGGTAACAAAGGCCTCAGTAGGGTTTGGGTAGCTGGTGAGGATAAAGTAGGGCTGCTTTGCTGCCACCTAGAGGTCAGAGTAGGACCCCACGGGCTCTTGAACTTGGGGCCCATTGGGGGCCTGACCACAGGGAGGTGACCTGCAGAGGTCAGCATGATGCAGGTTCCAGCTGGGGGTAAACTGGAGCCCAGCATTTTCTGGGAATGTGAGCCACTGCCTGGTAAACCTTCCTTCTGGAAAGAGGCAGGAGGCTGCCCCTGCCTCCCGGTGCCTCCTGGGTGGCCTCCAAACACCAGCAAGGCCTGAGGTCATCAGAGCTGAGTGGCTCAGGAAATGCCTTTGGTGCCTGTGGCTTCAGATAGCCTGAGGTCTAAATTATAGCTTGCATCTGCCCAGTGGTTTACAGTTCAGTGTTTATACCACAATGATCTCACTGAATCCTTTTTGCTTCCTGGTGGGCTGTGGCGATCATATCCATTTGACAGATGGGAAAGCAGATCAGAAGAGGCAAGCCGAATCGCTCAAGGTCACAAAGAGTGCAGACTTGAACCCAGCTCCCACTGACTCCCAGTCCTATTCACTTGCACTAGACCAGCAGTTTTCAAACCTCATTGCGTGGAGTCCTAGGGGGCTGGGGCAGGCCAGAGGCGAGGGCGGAGGGGGAGGAGGGGGAGAGGGGGAGGAGAAGGGGGAAGAGGCAGCCAAAAGGGTGAGGCTCTGTCCTTTCTCCCCACTTCACTCTGGGCCACACCTATATCAGGATTCTGTGTAGGCTGGGTTTGAAAGATTTGTGCTGCTAACAAAATATTTTCAGACGACTATGCCAAACTGTTCTTTTTCCCTGGGAGTTGGACTCAGGCTCCTCTTCCCTGGGACCTTTTCTCTACAGGGGCAAGAAGAGACCTGCTCTCCGTTGGATGATGTACTCTATCCCAAGGTGGTAGTGCAAGGGACTGTAAAAGGGACCGGCAGGGAGGCGGCAGCCCTGGGTCCAGTTGATTGTGATGTGGCCCAGTTATCCGCCTCAGTCTCCCCCTCTGTGCAGACCAGAGGCTTGGCCTAGATAAGCCTGAAAATCCAGTTGAGCTTAAATAACCTGTGGACCTGGGCTATCAGTCTTAGATAATCAGATCTTAAACAGGGGTGAGTCACCTGAAATCGTACGGAAATGCTGTAAAATGCTTTAGTGTGTGGATTTTTCTGAAAGTATTTCTATAGCTTCCATCAGTCTTAAAGAGGACTGCGATACAACACCTCTAGCTTCTCAGGACTTTTTCTGGCAGAAGTGGGAGGAAACCTCTTTTTGGGTGGGGGGTGGTGGTTGAGTTGTAAGAATGATATGAGAAAGCTGTTTGAAGAAAGGAAAACAAGGGCAACAAATAAAGATCAGAGCTAGAAATGGGAGCTGGGCAAAAGAGAAGCGCCCATGAGTATGCTGACAGTCTTGTTCTAGCCCCTAGACCCAGCCATGCCTGATACCCCTTACATTTGTCACCGGCATGAACAACTGCCTCTACTCCCTTAAAGCATTTTCTGTTTCGCTCGTGATAGAATAAACGATCCATGTGTTAACGTTATTGGAAAAGGCTCTTGCCAGCTGAAAAATTATGAGGCTTAACTTAGAAAAAAGAGAGCAGGGAGAAGAGGGACTGAGGCGGCAATGTCCCTCTTGTGCAGTTTTTGAATTGCAGACGAAAAGAATGTTCCCAGTTTTGTTCCCTGTCGGTTATTGCTTGGGCAAACCGGAGGCTTCCAGAGGTAGCAAAGACCTTGGAATCAACCCCATCGTCACACAGATGGGACCCCGAGCCCTAGGGCGGGGATGTGCCTTCCTGAGGTCGGACGGTACAGGTAGCAGGCCTGACACCGGAGCTGAGGTTCCCTTCTCCAAGGTAGGACCCACCTCTGTGTGCCTCTCCTCAGAGTTTTCTTCCCAGGCAGGCTGGCCAGTCAGAAGAGCTTAGGAGGGTTCTTGTGCCCACGTGTGTTGTGTGGCCACATGGGTCCGTGTCTTATCCAGAAAACTCTGCAGTCTGATTTCTTTTCCAGGTTCTGTGGGCACAGGCAAACAGTGGAGTGTTTGGCCTGGGGCCGGGGGAGGCGGGAAGGGAACCCACCCATTCCTCTGCCTGGGGCCCATCCTTTAGATGACAGGCATAACTAGGGTCCCGGCCAGGGAGCCCTAGAGGGGCCCTAGGCCCTAGGGGCCTAGGGCCTAGAGGGCCCTAGAGGTCAGGGCCAGGCCAGACATTGCCCAGTGCCGCCCATAGCAGAAAGACTTAGAATACTGCTGAGCCAAAAGCAGGCAAGCAGGGTTTATGGGTCAAGTCCAAGGAAGGGGTCACTGGCAGCCACAGGGTCAGATTTGTGCAGCGCTGGGGGGCAGGAATAGATCCCAGGGGGGGCCCCCACAACTGGGGGGCCTCCCACAGGGCAGCGGGAGGGAGGGGGAAGAAGCCGAAGGGGAAGGAAACACCAGACACTGCCTGCCAGCGGACCAGAAACTACTCATGGCCACACAGAAGAAATTAACTTTAATGTCCCACTTGGTTCCCAACCCCGCCCAAGTGCCAGGGCTCCCTGCAGGACAGAGGGGCTTGAGAGGTACGAAGTCACTAGACGAACGAGGCCCCCGCTGCCTCCTGGGCGCGCACTCGCTCTGCCCCACACACGCACACATGCAGACCACACGTACACCGCACAGACACACGCACGTGTACCCACGGTTAAATACATGTACGGAGGGACGCGTTGATATATACACGGGCGGGAGGGGGGGAAGCGTAATCCCGGCCCGTGTCGGGGCCCCAGGCTCTCGGCATGCTCGGCTCAGCTTTCCGCGCTGTACCTGGCACCCATGCCCCTGCCAGAAAAGCAGCTGCCCCTCTCCTCGCCCCCCGCCCCCGTTTGCCCCGGGTCCCGGGTCTGCCAGGCGCCGACACGCCCCTCCCTTCCCCTGCCCCCACGGCGATTTTCCCCCCAGGGAAAGGAGGCGGCGCTCCGGGCCCTACAACGGCCCTGGCGCCAGGGGCATGTTGGTTTTGAAGCCGGGCTGCCCGTTGGCCACATCGGGCTCGGCCTCGCAGCCCCCGCTGCTGGAGCCGCCGTCGGTCCCGGGGCTCTCGGGCTCCGCCAGGAGCTTGAAGGTGAAGAGCGGGCCCGAGTCGTGACGCCCGCAGCGGCTGGAGGGCTCCGGCAGGCTCAGGAGGGCGCCGGGCGCCTTCCACTCGGGGAAGGCGCACAGCTCGACGGGCGGCTGGGCGCCGCGGCCCAGGTAGCCGGGGCTCGGCGAGGCCGAGGGCAGGGTCCGCTGGCTGCCGCTCAGGCAGCTGCCGCTATCGTCCAGCGAGTCCTTGCGCGACTGCGAGCGCTCCAGCGAGCCGCCGCGCGTCCACGGCCTGTAGGTGTAGGCGCAGTTGCCCAGGCGACGACGCCGGCGGCGACGGCGGCGGGCGCGGCACTGGCACCCGAGGATGCGCAGGAAGGCGCGCTTGAACTCCTTGCTGGAGCACGGGTAGATGATGGGGTTGAGGCAGCTGTTGAAGTAGCCCAGCCAGAACACCACCTTGAACACGGCGTCCGGGGGCTTCAGGGTGGAGAAGAAGGAGCCTGCAGGGGGAGGGAGGGGGCGGGCGGGGGCAGAAAGACAGGAGTTCGTGAGTAGTCAGGCCCTCTCCTCTGCGTGCTCTACCTGAACGTTGCTCACGCAAAGGATGCTGCCAGGCTCCTTTGCCTGGGATGCTCGCCTTTCTGTCTCAGAATAAACGAATCCTACATTCACATTTAGGGCCAACCTCCGTAACTTCCCCTTAGTACAAGGAAGCTTTCCTGCTGTACCTAAACAGCATCTAAACTCCGGTATTTCTAGATTTCTCTAGACCTACCACACAGGGGCAGTGTGGGTCAGGGACTGGACCACCAGGGACCTGGAATTCCTTGCGTATTTCGAGCGCCCCCCCCCGCCCCCCCCGCGCCCGCCCGCCTTCCCTTGCTTCTCTCCAGAGCAGCACAGTAGCTACTGGAAATAGGGGCCCCCTTTGCCGCACTGGCCTGCCCTGGTGGGAGCCAAGAAGCCTAGTTAATTAAGGAAGGTCCTGAGCCTCTTTGGCATGAAAGAGGGTCGGTGGCAGGGTCCTTTTCTCTGGGCATCCAAACAGACCTTTGGGGGCCAAGGAAGTGCCCAGGAGAGGGGAGCAAATATCAACAGGAAATGCGAGGTCCTGGAAGCCTGCTTTCTGCTCTGTCAGGGCTGTGCTGGGCTCTGTGGCATGGCCACAAACTCCCTGTGCATGCCCCTGAGCCTGGCTCCCCTTCTCATGCTTATGAAGTGGTTCAGTGCTCCTTGCCCGGTGTCTTAGAATCATGGCTTGCCAGGGCTGGGAAACCTCCTTCCTTAATGGGAGCTCAGTGAGGATAAGCGATTTGCTCAAGGTCACTCAGCTGGCGAATGGCAGAAGGACCACTAGAATCCATTCAAGTTGTCATTCATTTGGTCCCACAAACACTTATTGAGGCATTGGTGGCTAGTGGTTAAGGTCCTGTTCAGACGTCACGGGTAGGTGTGGCCCTGGAGAAGCTCCCTGAGCTGGCAAACCTCAGTTTCCTGGAAAATAGTGATGGTGGCAGTTCTCTTTTGCATGGGCAAATGAACTTAGGCTCGGTAAGTACCTGGCAGGTTGAGAGCCCTCAAGTGCAGCTACCTGACTGCTTCAACTACAACCACTATTGCTACTGCCCACGCTGCTGTTACTGCCAGCATCGCTGCTGCAAAGACGAGGAAGGGGATGCGATTCGTGCTGACCAAGCGCCAGGACTCTCACGTCACTGCTCTTTCTAATACCGGCCCAAGCATGGGTCCCGGTGGTTCTTGAACCAGCTGAAATTGTATTCGGTGTTTGTGCATTTCTCTGGGGGAGAAGCCACAGCTGTCGCCACGGGCATGCAGGAGTCTGCAACCCTTGATCGGTTAAGCCTCACCCATCTCAGTCTCTGGCCTCCTAAGCCTCAGTCACTCTACCACCCGGACCACCTAGTTTTACCCTGCTTTGACTGCCTTAAGTCAGCTCCCTTTTGGTATCTAAACTTAAAAAAAAAATGAGGAAGCTTTTTATCACTATTTTAAAACCTGCATTATTTGCTATAAATAGAATGTCCTGGTAGAGAAAAATAAGATCAATCCAGACAGCGGTGGGTCTGAGGTCTGCCCTCGTTTTCACAAAGGGAGATTCGCCGGGTTGGAGGGCGTTGAAGGCTTGCTGGCCCTGCACGGGGAGGCATTATCTCCGAGGAACCGCAGGACTGAAACGGAAGTGAACGTGGGATAACGCCCTCGCTGGAGAGTCCAGCCCCCGGCACGTGGTCGGGGCTAAACAAACATTTGCTCAGTGACCCACAGATGGACTGAATATGCGATTCACAGACTCGTGCCCTGTCCAGCTGCCGTTGCAAGCTGTCTGCACACCACTCAGATCTGTTCTGAACTTGAGTAGCAGGCACAACCCTGGGAAAGCACTTGCTGGAGGCTCCCCGGCTCCATTCGGAGGCCTCCCTTGGCCTCTTACTGAGGCTTTTTAAAGCAGATCAAATGAGACAACGCTTCTGAAAGGGCTTGGAAGGGTGGAAGCTGGACACCTGGGTGGGAAGAGGAGGAGGTGAAGTTTGAGGGGGATGGATAAAACCACAAGCAGATGGTGCGGTGAGCCCACCCCATCACTAGGGCCTTGCCTGCTTTAAGGCGATTTAAAGGGATTGTGAAGTTCAAGGATCAAAAGCTAAAGCTGAGCAGGATCCGCACAGGGAGAAGCATTTCTTGGCTGGACAGAGTCCCAGTGAGTATCCTTAAGGTGCTGTTCGACAAATCTGGATAGTGAACACAAGGTCTGTGTGAACTTCCGCTCTTCCAAACCCTGGGGCATGTCTGTGGAACAGTAACTACTGTTGAACAAGCTGACTCCGTGCCAGCCGCTGGGCTAAATGCTTAGCCATCTTTTTCCAGTTACTCCTCTAACAGTCACTGCTCCCAAGGCAGCCTGGCATGACTGTGCCCTGCTCTAGGGGGCGCCATTCCACACTCCAGTCTACAGCACTCCTTGGTGATCGATTGCTCCAACCTGCTCGGGTCTGCTGGAGGCCAGGACTACTGCACTTCCGAGGAATGGAAAGTGAGCTGCTGTACCCACAGCCGAGCCATGTCTCCCCAGTTTGGCTCAATAAAAATGCAAAAAATGTAAAATAGTTGCTGAGTCTTTCAGTACCAGCTTTGTAAGGGAGCTTTCCTTGGATTTGGAAAGTCCCTTCAAGGTTTTTCTGTTTTCATTTGCCACTGAACCCTGGAATGAGATCATAAAGTTGTCCAACAAATACAGTATCCTTGGGGCCAACAGATTCACGTCAAGTTTTAAAGCAAATGCTGAACACAGTAATAATCAGCAGAGCCGCCATTTATAATGAACTGGGAACCAGTTATCAGGCGCTGTGCCTAAAACTGCGATTACATGACCCTTCCAGCAGCCCTGCTCTGTTGAGCCTCAGCCCACAGATGAGCAAACTGAGGTTTAACAGATTAACAAGGTCACGTGTCTAGTAGTGGGAGAGCTAGGATTAAAATTCGGCTCTCAGGTCTGATCTTACTCATCGCTCGATTGAAGAAAAAGAAGCTTCTATTTATTTCCTTAAGTACCAGGCCATTTCTTCCTCAACTGGGAACAATCTCTCTTTTTGCTGAATTGTCACAGCACTTTGACTGAACTGCAAATGTGGCATTTATCACTTTCTACCTCGAGTTCCAGTGGCCTCAGGCTATGTATCATGTCCCCTGATTAGGATGTAAGCTTCTAGAAAGCAGAATTCATGTCTGGTTTGTCTCTCTCCCCCCAGGACTGAGCACAGTGCCTGACACATGACAGGTACTCAGCCAATATGTGTTACATGATAATAATGGTGAAGAATAATAATAAAGCTGAAGTGTGCTAGCCCCTGGTGCTCAAAGTGAGGTTCCTGCAGAGGCAGCGCGGATACGGGCCAGTGTTTCTTAGAAACGCAGAATCTCGGAGATCCAGTGAGTCAGAATCTGCTTTTCAACAAGATCCCAGGGTGGGAAGCATGGCCTTAGCCCACATTTCAATTTTACTTTAAAAATTGTTTTTCTGGGTGTCTTGGGATTCATGGACGAGCAGAGGCTGGGCTGAGCGCCACCTCACCGTGGGACTGACTTCCTCGCCCCAAACACGTCAGCAGCTCCTAGAGTTTGTAGGAGCAAAGTCAACCTGCTTAGGCTGGAATTGAAAACCTGCTCCACTTGGCTGCGATGGTCTGATTCTTTGCAACGTCAGTGGACTCTTCTGGCTCCTTTCCCTTTATTCGTGCTGTCCACTGGTGTGATGAGCCCTCTCCTTTCCCCTCCTCCTCTCCACCCTTTCCAGGTCTGGCTCGGATGCCTTCTTCTCATAACCACAGCCCACGAGGCACGACTTCCTCTGAAGTGTGAGAACAGGAGGAAGGAATGGTTTGGCCGTGAACCTGCCAAGATCCAAGTGACCCTCACACCGTACCTAATTTTATTCTCATAATAGTTAGGAGGGAGGGATGGGTTCTGTAATTCTCAATTCGCTGTTTATGAATGTGGAAATCGAGTCTCTGAATGTACAGAATTGTCACACAGCTGCTAAATGGTAGAGCTGGGATTCAAACCCAAATCCACCTGGTTGCCACCTGGGCAGTTTCCACAACAGATAAGATTGCCGCTAAACTCTTGGAACACCTGTGGGCTGAGGGCAGGCTGGAACTGTTTACTTGCTATTTGTAATAGTGTCTTTACATGTATTTTCTCTGGCTTTTAAAATACAAGTATCTAGAGACCAAGAATTTTGAATCACTCTGCCTCAATTGTTCTTAACCTAACAATACTGATTATGCAAATCATTTAGCATCATCTAATTTCAGGGTCTCACAGACTTGCTGAATCCCAGCCTCGGGCACCCACCAGGTGTGCGGTCACCAGATTAAGGGTGTCTGCTATTCTCTCCACAGATTTCTATCGTAACAGCTATTGGACTGACTTTAAATTTTAGAGTCTGTTTCCCTTGTTTCAAGCTCTTTGAGGCCAAGATCTTACTTGTCTTGGTTTCTTTAGTGCCCAACACAGAGCTTGGCTTACAGTGAATGTGTGAAAAGGTTTGTTGAGCACATAACCCCCTTTTCATGTATTGGGTTCACAGTAGGTGCTGCCTCAGTGGTTGTGGAGTGACCCCCTCCTTGTACTCCGTTGTCTTCCTCTTCTTTATTTATTTACATGGTAACACAGGCCAATGCCCAGTTCAGTTCCCGTCTCCTTCCTGAAACCTTTTTGACTGCTCCAGGCTCTTCTCCTTTATTCACCATTAAAACAGAGTCCATAGCACAATGGTTAACATGGAAGGTTATTGCTAAAGGATGTGATGTTTGGCTCTTTAGGCAGGCAGTGTCAAAGCTCCTTGACCATGGGGTCTGTGTCCTATTTTTCTAGCACGGGTCTGAGCACGTGGCCGTGCCATCAACTACCCATTGATCGACTGACCCATTCCATCTTGTGGGAGGAAAGCTACCTCCTGGCTTAGCCCAGAGTTGACAGC